GTGAATTCAAAAGAATCACCAATACCGAGGTGTTAGAGAGTATGAAAAAATAAAAAAAAGGTGTAAAAATGATTAAAAAGAGAAAACTTTATTACTTTGGACACATTATGAGAGGTAACAAATACTAACTGATTCGACTAATAATACAGGGAAAAATCCGCGGAAGAAGATCAATAGTAAGGAAATGATATTCCCGGCTGAAAAATCTGCGTGCATGGTTCAGCAGCACCAATAATCATCTATTTAGAACCTCGGTCTCAAAGGTACGAATAGCTTTAATGATTGCCAACATTCAAAAACGGAGACGACACTTTAAATAAGAAGAATATTTATAAAAAAAATTGTACTAAAACTTTATCTTTACGTTTTTCATTTTAAGTATTATTAACATGTGTATTTCCAACAGTATATCCCTTTGAGGACTGATGGCTAACACTGCTAACCTAGTAACCACAGCACAGATTGAATAATTTTTCTTTATGTGCCTGCTGGTTCCTCACCAAATCCGTTTTGTATTATTGGTTGCCTATGGACCTCACAATTGTATTTCAATAGCCATTTATACATATCCAGGGTAAAAAAAGTTATTATCGTCATATTTACATGAATGGTACATTAACAGTGACATATTCTGTAACTTGCTTTGTGTATTTATTTATTTCAAGTGGTTTTCCTTTTCTCAAGTATCTCAAAAAGTAGTAGCATATTGTTTAGAAAATGTAATAATGGCAAACCACTAGGCACTAAGAGTTTTTTTTCTAGAATCAAAGACACTGGACCATAAGAAACTTAACCATAAATCCACTCAACTTTGAGGAATTATTGGATGAAATACCAAGTGGTGCTGAATCAGTCATAATACAGGGAAAGATTTAAGGAAGAAGATCTATTGGCCGAAGGCAGAACTCATGGTTGAAGAATCTACGTGATTGGTATCAATGCAGATCTATTGATTTGTTTAGAGTTTCTTCTTAACATGCCATACACCAAAGTGCGTAGGCGACTATCTCATTACTAGAATTCTGTTCTTGGCGGCGTGACACAGCTCACCTGTATTGTGTATTCCTGTCCATTCTTTAATATTCCTTAACCAGGACAATTGTTTGCGGCCGGCTCCTGTCCTACCTTCGATCTTCCCTTGTAGGATTAACTGTGGTATTTCATATTTTGCTCCTCTCAATATGTGCCCAAGGTAACCAATCTTGCGTTTTTTAATTAATTCAAAGAGTTCTCTTTCCACGCCGGCTCTATTAAGGACGTCATCGTTTCGAACTCTATCCACCCAAGGTATGCGCATCATTCTTCTCAATGACCACATTTCAAATGCTTCAAGTTTGTTGATAGATGTTTTTTTCAAAGTCCACGTTTCCATGCCATAAAGCAAGATGGACCATATGTAGCACTTGACCATTCTGTAGCGTATTTCGAAGTTTAGGTGTTGATTACATAGGAGCGGTCTGAATTTCACAAAAGCTTGTCTTGCCATTTGTATTCGTGTTTTTATCTCGTATTGTGGATCCGATTGGTCATTGATTGTGGTGCCAAGGTATTTAAAAGTTTTCACGCGATTTATACGATTGTCACCTATGCATAATATCGGGTTTTCTGGAGGGTTTCTTGTTTTGTTTAGAGTAGCAAGTTCAAAAATAAAAATAGCCATCATAATTGCCAACCTCCACAGGGAGAGGGCATTCTAAGAAGAAGCTGAATTAGTGACCTTAGATTTGGAGAATGAGATGAATGACGAGCTGGAAGTTTTAAAAAACAGTAATCCTGACACAGAAAATATTGTTCATCAGTAAGACACAGATGAGGAAAGTGATGACGACTTGCCTCTGCCAAATGTACTCGAGACCATTAAAAGTCCTACATATATGTTCCTACACTTATTTCCTATCTATCTTATTACACATTGTTTTCCAAACTAATTTGTATGTAATACACAAAAGCTGTGGTATTAATAATTTTTTTTCAACAATCCACGAGGAATTAAAAAGATTCTTGGGAGTCAATTGGCTCATGAGTCCGAACCAAATACCAATTTTCAGAGACTGTCGTCCAAAAAAGAAAAAACACATTCCTTTGTCAGCTATTTACAGATACCGATTTTCCTGGATTCTTAGTAACATTCATCTCAATAATAACTCCGTTGAAACGAAGAAAAATGAGCAAAACTACGATAACATCTGTTGCGTTCTGCACATACGATGACCTCAACATAACAATTAAGGTCATCCTGAAGGGGGAGAGATATTCTGTTCAATCTAGAACTCGCTGGTTTCCCCCTTTCGAAATGGGTATGTATATTCAAATAAAAGAAGAAAAAGGAAGGGCAGCGGACTGTATAAAACTCTATTTTAAAAAGCTGTAAAATTAAACATAAATATACATAACCAAATATACCATTATAATTAAAGAATAATAAATTACAAACTTAACTATTACGCAATACGAAACGACATACCAAAAGACAACCATAAACAGACAAAACAAAAGACAAAACCTACCATAGCCGCAAACATACTATGCATAAAACGACAAAAGACAAATTAATAATATTACAACAAAAACATAAAAATATGGATATATATGTCAATGGTATAAAAACATACAAACAATACAATTATTAATCCAAATCACAAAAGAAATAAAATCGGTGTTAACAAAAATACAAAAAAAAATACAATACAGTAAATATACTGAAACAAATGCAAAATGTCCAATTGACAGTGTTCAATCGCGATCGCGGCACAAATGCGATGAAGTTCCAAACATATATCAAATAAATATACCAAGTCAACGTACTTGATATATGCAGCAATTAATTAATATTGTGTATTGTTCCTAACCCCATGAAAAAGATAACCCCAACGCTATCGCAAATTGTGTCTTCAGCGACACTTCAACTACCAAAGTTGATGATGCACATTTGCGTCTTTTTTCGTCAAAAGACCGATACGGAGTCAGGTACTCTTCGTCTTCACATACCCATGTTCATCGTTTGAGAGATACTTTTCGACTCTTCGTTTTGAACATGTGGCCTATGGAAATCGTCCTTTGTTATCTCGCAGATGGCGTCTTGGAATGTTTAGCCCTTATCTCTTTTTGGCCCTTAAACACCGCTGTGCAATTGTATATGCAAATCTCAGTGTAAATATACGGGGAAAATCGAAACTATTAAAAGGTCTGTTAATACATTTACAAATGTTTATTTACAGTTGCGAAACTGCAACAGCATCTACAAAATTCGACCACTCTTGGAGGAGCTTGCAGAAACGTTTATTTCTTTCATGAAACCAAGTATAAATATCAATCCGTGGATGGGTTCATGATAAAATTTAAAGGTACATTTTGAGCATATGAGTTCAAATATAGGTAACGTAAACTCTGACATTTTTTACATTCGATTATATATGCCGAACAAGCCTACAAAAAGAAAATATAAAGTCTGGGTAAGGATAGACTCTACTGATTAGATTAACTACTTTCAAAAATATGCACTGTGAAAATAGACAATAATACAAAAACAATTTGGGTAAATAAGTTGTGGAAGATCTGACAAAAGAGTTAAATGGCAAAAGTCATAATGCAGTGGAGGATCCAGATATTTGCAGGGAAGGGTCATGAGTCTTGAGGGTAATTTTGAGATATAGGATTTAGATTTTTGCATTTTTCAGTGGCTGATCCTCAGAAATTTTTGTCGGGGGGTTCTTGAGGGTGATTTCGATATATTATTTAGATTTTTGCACCTTTCCTATTGATATTATTTGTGCCTCATGTAAGGGAACCATTTCCTTAATAATTATTTTAAGCGATATATTAAACCAATGAAGAGTTATTAAAACCCAAATAAGGGATCCTAAACTTAAACAAAAAAAAATATAATTTAAACCCACATACTCTATGATAGTAAAATCAAGTGTACAAGACTATTAACCAAAGGAGAAATTATTAAAATATAAATACTGAAAAATCAAAAACTGTAACTTTAGACTAGGTATTTTAAAGACAATTAATTTAAACCCACCTATCCTATGGCTACAAAATCAAGAACAAACCAAGGATAAATAAGTATAAACCAATTAAGTAATTTCTATGCAATAACTCAATGTAAGTGTAAACATTAATGAACATATTAAACATTCCTAACAAACTCTATCTTATCCATGAATATCCGAGATCAATTTGTAAAAACATTCATTTATTTATTATTGCTATACGGAGTAGAAACACGGACTCTCGGAATTAAAAGTATAAGGCGTATAAAAGTCGTTGAAATGTGTATTTTTTGAAGGATGCCGAAGATATCGTATACAGAGCACGTGACCAACAACGAGCTGCTAAGAATGAGGACTCCTAAATATTGTAAACAACAGAAAAACGAGATATCTAGTACATGTTTACAGAGGAGAAAAATATAACTTTCTACGACTCATAATTTAAGAGAAGAAGAAAGAAATAGAGGACCAGGAAGAATAAAAATCTCCTGGCTGAAGAATGTAAGAGACGAAACAGGTATGGACACACATTCGATACTAAGAACAGCTTAAGATAGGGAGCAATTTGCTGTAGTTATAACCACCCTTCCGCAATGAAGAAGGAACCTTAAGAAGAAGTGTAAACAGCATTTTTTTAAATTAATTTATTCAACAAAAAACATAATATAATTTAAGAATAGTTATTTCTATAATTAGGTATATTAGGATACAAGTGAGTGAAATTTTTTTACTCGGTTCAGTGATTAAAAATACTATAAGCTAACCTTTCCTCCGAAATTCTATTTCTAAGCCAAGTCTTTAGACGCTGAACGCTTAGAAGTGTATAAAACTACGCTCTGCTGTTGCTGCACTGACTGGCAGTGTAATTAATATTTGCAAAAGTATTCTGATATTTGAATACACATAAATATCGCAGTTTTTCTATACTTCTAAAATAGAATCAGGAATTGTTTCATTATTTTGCACGACTGTTTTCCACTTTTAAATCCACAGTGAAAACTCTTATTCTACTGTGGAATCTGCAGTAGATGGTCCAATAATATACTGAAAAGTGTCAACAATTTTTTTTAATGCAACTTTATCTTCTGGTGTGTTATCAGTTTTAGGTAAAATAACTCGAAGATTAAATATATTTTTAAATATCAGTGAAAGTAGGTCTTCTAAATCAGTTAAGATATTGTCGAAAAGGGATAAGTAAATAGATTTTCGGAAATATTCTTCGCAACAGTTAGCAGGTTGGTTTTGACGACAGGTTTGACGAAAAACTATACTAGGCATCTTTAATTCAATGTCTAGGTGTTCAGCTACTTCCTTTACTTCATAGTAAAGTTTACTAAAAACAGATTCAGGATTTGATCTTTTATTTTGCAGAATGCATTACGTGTTCTCTATGGCCTCAGTAGCCTTCTTCAAATCTAATTTTGGTGACTCAAGAAGACGACTAAGTGATACAGTTGTACCGGAAACATCACTAAGACAAACTACTGAAATGAATTCTGGGCTCCTAATAGTTTGCATTAATGAAAATGCGTTAGCTGACATTTTACTACCCTTCCACGTAGAAATTGTTTCAAAAACGTTGTATATTTTGATGATGACTAGATGACTAGATGACCCTAGAACTAAAAATGACCTTCATGCCTTTCAACCCAATGAGTTTTACAAATCCCTTGGACAGCAGCCCCACTTCCTTTATTTGTATTCACTGACGTATCAGACAGAATACAAGAAAAATATTCACTTTGATATTTATTATCAATACATTATAAAATGCAGCACACGGTCTCAACAATTATAATACAAATTCAAATTACAAACAACCAATTCGTAAACAAAACTAAAGATAAGAAATACCTAATACAAAATAAAAATATGCTGATTTCGTGCAACACTGAAGATAAGAAATACCTAATACAAAATAAAAATGTGCTGATTTCGTGCAAAAAGTCGTGTCATGTACATTGAATTAGGAATAATGTGTGGGCAGTTATTCTATCTTATCTATAATCGAACTCAAATAACGAATTGACAAAATTTGAAAATCGCGCAACTCTGAATTCGCGGAAGTCGGCCTAGCGTTAGTCCAGGTATTACTGTATTCAGAATTGTTGATTTTTTTTAAGAGCAATGTTTAAAGTGCTCCGCATAATTCTAGGCTTACCTCTAGAATAAACGAGTTTGATTTATTTCAACTCTTCTTTCTGCTTATAGGGTTGATGGGTTTTAAATTATTTTTTTAGAATTATTTGATTGATATTTAATTTTATTGGGGGAGGGGGGGTCATGACCCCCGTGAATTCCCCTTGATCCGCCACTGTCATAATGTTTTATTTGACAATTATTTTATTTCCATTGAAATACATCTGTGTTATATAATGAAATTTATGCCTTCGGGGCAATCCGCAAGGGGAGAAAAAATTTTCCTGATCTCCAAACTGATAAAAATATTCAAAAAGCGATTATGGTTGGAGAGTATCAAATGAAGGACTTGCAGAGCTGAAATGGATGGACCGTCGAAGTTTTCATTTTTTAACAAATTTTAAAAACCCTGCAATCAAAGAAGTTGCTAGCAAAAGAAAAGATGGGTCTGTATAAGAAATGAGCTATCCAAGAATGGTCAATAATTACAATGACCATATCAGTGATGTCGAAAAGTTTGATATGCTAAAAGGCCTTTACAAAATTGATCGTAAGTCACACAAGTGGTGTGACTTACGATATGATTTTATATCTAAAAAGAGGCAAACCGTCAAAATTCACCAATCCAAAGGAACTTAGAATGTGGGCCGCTAGAGGTTTGATTGGTGCAACTTCATCAAGGAAACGTGGTCGACACTCATTTGCAAAAGAAATAAATAAATAAAGCGTAAAAAAATTGTTCCTCAAGAAATACGGGATAACCTGAAGTCCAGTTGTGGTATTTGATTTGATTTTTCCCAGGATTTGTCCAGCATCCATATCAATATTGTGTCTTCCATGGGTCGGATCTAGGTTGTTTCGAAGTTCGTAGGACAGTGTTTTTATATTCAAGGCAAAAAACTTTGTTTAATAATTTGAAAGTATATAATTAACCAGTAAAACAGGTTGCTAAAAATGTAGAACATTTTTTATCAATAACAACAAAAATCCATATTTAATAGATTAAATGACCAGAGATAGGGTTGAGGTAATATCCAAAATGTTTAAAGGATCTTTAAACCTAATGTATTGGCACAAGAAACATTGGAATGCATCTAATGTAATTGTAATCCATAATAATGTAATAATGTAATCTAAGTTTTGTAATAGGCAAACTACCAAGATTAATTTATTATTTAGTACAAGAACGATAAAAAATGTGAAAAACTAACATTATATTTTATCCTACGTATTATAAACTATAAAATATTCGGGGCGAAAAAACGCTTTTCAAAACGTGGCAGTTACAATCCAATATCTCACTGTAAAGTTTTATTATAATAATTTAAAGTTATGTATAGATTGACTGTCTATCAATATTTTTGAATTGAAATATTTTCTATAAAACAAAAGTCAATGTATGGGTACTTATTTATAATGATGGAAAATTACAAAATTAATATGACAATTTTTTAGGATGCACGTTTAAACAAATTTATTATGACTGACTGATCGGGAATGCTCGATAATGTTTTAGTTTTTAGTATACTCAAAACTGGCGGTCTGTCACACATGACACAACTCTACTTTTACTACTCTACTGGTTTCATATAATATTTTTGTTAAACTGGCAACAGTGTCCTAGAAATTAGAATGACACATGTGACAAGATCAATGTACACAACTTAAAAAACACGATTTTTGATTATAAGAGTTGTACCAGTTTTTTATGACGCGAACGGTACATAACATTGTTTTAATTCTGTTTTGTTAAATGGTTTCACTTAATGTAAAATGTTTGGTGATAAATTTAGATATTTTTTGTAATAACTGGTTATATACAATAAAAATAAATATGTATTTTTGTCTTAAATTAGGAGTTTAAAAAAATACTTCTGTTAAAAAAGATTTTTACTCTTAAATTTTTTAGGAAAGAACAACTTTGCTTTCTAGGTACCAAGAGGATTTTTTAAAACGGCGTACTAATTTTAAATAGTTTAGAAATCTTTTTGTTTAGTATTGCTCAGTACATCTCTGGTGCGCATGTAAGTATTTTTTTATTTCTTTTTCGTAGTTAGTTTTCCCAGTACCAAAAAAATCCTTATCCAAGACCTTGCTCTCCAACCAAAGCACGAGAAGCCTTTCGCAACCGTTTCAATTTATTTGCTTACCATATCTCCAAGCTAGTGATTGTTTGGTCCCACTTTAGCCCCCTATAAGCAAATTGAAATTGTTACAAGATAAATTAAATACTTCAGAATATCAATAAAAATAAAATAATAAAATTTTCTTATATATATATATATATATATTATATATATATATATATATATATATATATATATATATATATATATATTATTGTGATATTTAAAGTCTTCGTGCGCCAAGCAATTTATTAGCTAATTAATTAATTAAAATTATTTAAATGATATGATTATGACTCTATCACACTTTTTAATTCTTTTATCTCAGGGTTAAATTCGTGCTTCAATATCTATGCTATTATATGTGAAAGGTAAGATCCAAAGAATACCGGAATAATAAAAAACATATAGGATCTAACATTATATATTGAAATAAAATAATGAAATAAAATTCACACTCAAAAATTTTTAATAAACAAAATCTCATATAATGATTCTCAAAATTTTGTTCTACGTACGTGAACCTTCAAAATTAATGGTACAAACAATATAATCTCATCCTGGTCAATGGTACAAACTCTCCTAATCAAATATTTATATCCTTTCTAAATTAAGTGTAAAAATTGTGTTATCAATAAAAGAAAAACTGCAGAACACAAAACTATCTCTCTCTGATGATGAGTGGCCCAAATCCTTGTTCCTTGTAGACTATATTATCTACTCTCAGCCGCTCCCTAGGTAATCAGCAATATCACAACAAATTATTGCAAGTTTATCGTCCTTAATGATCTCCTTCAAATGCACGAATCGTTCAAATTATGCTAGCTTCTTCTTCTCTCAATAAACTGAAACTCTCGTTGGCCTGAGTTAAAAATGACTCTTGGAATATCTTTTCTTCACGATAAACTGAATCTCTCGTTGGCCTGAACAGTGACTCTTGGAATATAAGTAGAAAATATAACTTACAATCTTTTACTGGATCAGCTTCTGTCAGATACACTAACTACACGAAAACTCACAAACTTTCACTGCTACTGCTTCCTACCTCTGGGAAACTACCCGAGAACAACGGCCGTTCGCCTTGCACCCTTGGAAACCAACTGCTTATCTTTTCTCTCTCCAAAATCTAGCTAAACTTTCATTCCTACATACCTATCCCACCTTTTTCAATCTCCGCCAATCAAAGCTCGTCACTATTCTCCCATTTTTTTATTTCGATAACAAACAAATTTTTACCTATAATTATAAAATTTCCTAAAACTTATTTACAAACAATATTTTTCTACAATTCTTAAAAACTAACAAAAACCTATGTTTTTAAAATCTATTCTATTGTCCTTAATCACTGCATTAATGTATTTGGAAAACCCGGTTCAATTGTCTTTGAATTTCACTTAAAATTATGCGGGTCACTCAAATATATTATAACAAAGAAAATAATTTATGCATAGCTTACATTTTGTTTAATACAGGTAATCCAAAAATTTAAAGACTTTCCTTCTTCGAAATGTTTGTTGGGTATTATCCTACTTATCTGAATTATTTTAATGTTTTTGAACTTTGAAATATTTTGAACAAACCAATATTTTTCTCGATTTTACATATCATAACAAATCCCCGCCATTTGATCTGCCGAAAACTCTTTGTTAAATTTTAAAAATGACAAAAGTGTTCCAGGATCAAATTATTTCACTATGTTATTAAAATCTACTCACGATATTGATAGATGTCGTGAATGTTAAAATACCCTGTATATTGCCTGTCTTTATACGGGATTGGATATATTTTCGTTTTAAAATTTTCCAAGTATTTAACCTTAAAGAATGTTCATCATTTTTATCCACTCGGCTTACTTCATTAATAAGATCTCCATGATTTTCTAAAATCTTCTCTATTTTCTTTCCATGTTTTCTCCACAATTTATTTTTCTTTCATCCTCATTTTGTTCACATGTGTTCACTGTCCATAATATTTTTTCACAAAACTCTGGATTCTTGTCCATCATTGCCATTT